TGATGTACGGTACTTATTCTCAGATCCAGATGATCTCGCTGTCTTACATGCAGCATCTCCCTGGATGAAATATCCGTGTGTCTAAATAAATTGCCACCCTGCCACCCCTGCCCGAGGGCATGCAATGAATGGAAGTTCTCTCCAATTACTCATCCCTAAAATGAGTTAGAGTCCACAATTCTAGCTCTAACCTACTACAATTCCATCATTTAACCAATTTCCACTAGACAACCACATATGTGACGACTTCCGAGCAACACATACCCTGGGGTTCACAAGAGTGTTGTACTTTACCTGCCGAAGGTGCCTAAAGACGCATCGTAAAAATTAATTCCATGCTTGAGTGAACAGCAAAGATCCATCAGGAAGTTATGAACGAGCTCCCTCACCATGGCTTTCCCTGCTTCGTCAGCAGGGATCTGTGAGGGATTAAAANCCACACACACACATTTTAATCAACAATGTAATAAAATGAGTAGCATTGATATTTACACAGAGCACAATGCATGCCAGTCTAGGCAGTTACCACACTATTCCACCTCTCTGAGGCAGGCACTAATTTTATTTGTAGATGAGGTGACGGAAGCAGACAGGATGTGTGATCTGCTCGTCTCAGAGCTAAGCTAGGATTGGAGCCCAGCAGTCTGACTCAAGATGCTCTTTTAACCTCAGCATCAGGGGCTGGCAAACTATAGTCCACCCCATTTTGTAAATAAAATTTTACCAGAACAGTTACATCTGCGTGCTCATGTCTGTGGCTGCTTTGGTGCTACAACTGCACACTTGGATAATCACAAGAGAGGCTGTATGGCCCACCAAGCCTAAAATACTATCTGCCCCTTTAGAGAAACAGTTTGCCAACCCTTGCTTTATGCTGTAACACCCTGCTGTGTGCCAGGCACTGTCCTATGAACTGGGGATCCAAAAGAGATCAGCCTGTTCTCACCACTTCTTACCAATCAGATTATGAACAAGTAAATAAATAAATATGCAAGGTGCTTATAAGTCACAATCAGAAGCCTAAGCCAGACAAAAGGACAATGAGAGTGGGGGTGCCATTTTGGAAGGGGTGCCAGGAAAGGCCTCTCTGAAGTGGTGACATTTGCACAGGGAACTGAATGAAATGAGGCAGTGAGCCACACAGCTATCAGGGAACCATGTGTTTCAATTTTCTCAAAGCTTTTCGTTCCTGTCCACAAACAAAACTCCCTTCCTCTCCACTAAGCACAAATATTTGTCTTTTGTCCATGGCTTCTAAAATTCATATAAAACGTGGCTTATTTTAAATAGACCCACACCCATGAGTTGACTCAATATGCTCATTAAAAGATCATCTATTTCATGGATTTGGTAATGGAGGGAAAAAAGTGATTTAAAAAGGGGAGAAAATGCATGTGTTTTAAGCATGGTTTTATATTAGACTATAAAAGTCTGCTGTTCCATTTTAGCAGAAAAATAAGCTCATTCTTGCTGATGAGAGAAAAAAGAAAAAAAAAAATGATCTGGCATGTTAAATCATAATAATCTCAGAATCAAAACAAGTCCAAAGTCACAAGCAGGCAGAAAAATTCCTACTGTGTTATCCCATGCTGAAGCAATCAGTGATTTCCTGACTGGTTAAAACTAGAAGTAAATCAAACTATCAAAATCCATATAATAAAATGCTATGCAGTCAAGGGAGTAAAAAAAAATAAGTCATTCACAGTGACCAGAAAATATATATTTTTTTGCCAACTGGAAAAAAAGC